CTTCCTGCAGGAGTTATCTTAAGGCAGTCCTGGTGGTGACAAAATCTTTCAGCATTTGCTTGTCTGTAAAGGATTCAGTTTCTTTTTCACTTATGAAGCTTAGTTTGATTTGATATGAAATTCTGGGTTGAAAATTCTTTAAGTATGTTGAATATTGTACCCCACTCTCTTCTGGTGTGTAGGGTTTCTGCAGAGAGATTCGCTGTTAGTCTAATGGACTTTCCTTTGTGTGTAACCTGACCTTTTCTCTGGTTACCCTTAACATTTTTTCCTTCATTTCAACCTTGGTGAATCTGACAATTATGTGTCTTGGGGTTGCTCTTCTTGAGGAGTATCTTTGTGGTGGTCTCTTTATTTCCTGAATTTGAATGTTTGTCTGTCCTGCTAGGTTAAGGAAGTTTTCTTGGATGATATCCTGAAGAGTGTTTTTCAATGTTCCATTCTCCCTGTCACTTTCAGGTACACCAATCAAATGTAGACTTTTCACATAGTCCCATATTTCTTGGAGGCTTTGTTTGTTTCTTTTCATTCTTTTTTCTCAAATCTCGTCTTCATGCTTTATTTTATTAAGTTAATCTTTAATCTCTGATATCCTTCACTTGATCAATTTGGCTATTGATACTTGTGTATGCTTCACGAAGTTCTTCTGCTGTATTATTCAACCCCATCAGGTCATTTATGTTATTCTCTAAACTGGTTATTCTAGCTAGCAATTCCTCCAATCTTTTTTCAAGATTCCTAGCTTCCTTGCATTGTGTTAGAACATGCTCCTTTAGCTTGGAGGAGTTAGTTGTTGCCCACATTCTGAGGCCTACTTCTGTCTATTTGTCAAACTCATTCTCCATCCAGTTTTGCTGTTTTGCTGGTGAGGAGTTGTGATCCTTTGGAAGAGAAGAGGCATTCTGGTTTTGAAATTCTCAGCCTTTTGCTCTGCTTTTTCCTCATCTTTGGGAATTTATCTACCTTTGGTCTTTGATGTTGGTGACGTTTGGATGGGGTTTTTGTGTGGATGTCCTTTTTATTGATGGTGATTGTATTTCTTTCTGTTTGTTAGTTTTCCTTTTAACAGTCAGGCCCCTTTGCTGCAGGTCTGGTGGAGTTTGCTGGAGGTCCACTCCATACCCTTTTTGCCCAGGCTGCAGAACAGCAAAGATTGCTGCCTGTTTCTTACTCGAAACTTCATCCCAGAGGGCAATGGCCAGATGCCAGCAAGAGCTCTTCTATATGAGGTGTCTATTGACCCCTGCTGGGAGGTGTCTCCCAGTCAGGAGGCACGGGGGTCAGAGACCCACTTAAGGAGATAGTCTGTCCCTTAGCAGAGCTCGAGCGCTTTTCTGGGAGATCTGCTGTTCTCTTTAGGGCTGGCAGGCAGGAAGGTTTAAGCCTGCTGAAGCTGCACCCACAGCCATCCCTTTTCCCAGGTGCTCTATTCCAGGGAGATAGGAGTTTTATTTTTAAGCCCCTGACTGGGGCTGCTGCCTTTCTTTCAGAGATGCCCTGCCCAGAGAGGAGGAATCTAGAGGGTCAGTCTGGCTACCCCAGCTTTGCCTAGCTGTGGTGGGCTCCACCGAGTTCTAACTTTTCAGTGACTTTGTTTACACTGTGAGGGGAAAACTGCCTACTCAAGCCTCAGTAATGACGGACTCCCCTCCCCCCACCAAGCTCAAGCATCCCAGGTCAGCTTCAGACTGCTGTGCTGACAGTGAGAATTTCAAGCCAGAGGCTCTTAGCTTGCTGGGCTCTTTGGGGGTGGGATCTGCTGAGCTAGACCACTTCGCTTTCTGGCTTCAGCTCCCTTTCCAGGGGAGTAAACTCTTCTGTCTCACTGACTACTGGGGTATGAACAAAATACTCTTGCAGTTAACTCTTTGTCTGCCCAAACAGCCACCCAGTTTTGTGCTTGAAACCCTGGGTCCTGGTGGCATAGACACCTGAGGGAATCTCCTGGTCTGTGGGTAGCAATGACCATGGGAAAAGCATAGTATCTTGGCCGTAATGCAGCAATCCTCATGGCACAGTCCCTCACAGCTTCCCATGGCTAGGGGAGGGAATTCCCCTACCCCTTGCACTTCCTGGGTGAAGCAATGCCCCACCCTGCTTTGGCTCTCCCTCTGTGGGCTGCACCCACTTTCTAACCAGCCCCAATGAAATGAGCCAGGTACCTCAATGCAGAAATCACTCAGCTACTGTGTCGATCTCACTGGCAGCTGCAGACTGGAGCTATTCTTATTCAGCCATCTTCAGAAGCATTTTTAACTGTACAATTCCATGGCATTAAGTACCTTCACAATGTTGTCACATTTGCTCTAGCATTCTGATTTTCTTTCTGTCTTTTTAAAATATTTTATTTTAAATTCTAAGATATATGTACAGGACGTGCGGGTTTGTTATGTAGGTAAGCGTGTGCCATGGGTGGCTTGCTGCACCTACCAACCCATCACCTAGGTATTACGCTCCACGTGAATCAGCTATTTATTTTGATGCTCTCCCTCCTCCTGCTCCCCTGATAGATCTCAGTGCATATTGCTCCCCTCCCTGTGTCCATGTGTTGTTATCGTTCAGCTCCCACTCCTAAGTGAGAACATGCTTGTAAGCGAGCTCACGTGGTGTTTGATTTTCTGTTCCTGTGTTAGTTTGTTGAGGATACTGACTTCCAGCTCTACCCATGTTTTGCAAAGGATATGATCTCACTTTTTTAAATGGCTGCATAGTATTCCATGGTGTATACGTACATTTTCTTTACCAGTTAATCATTGATGAGCATTTAGGTTGATTCCATATCATTACTATTATGAATAGTGCTGCAATGAACATATGTGTGCTTGTATCTTTGTAATAGAATGATTTATATTCCTTTGGGTATATACCCAGTAATGGGATTGCTGGGTCAAATGATATTTCTGATTCTAGGTCTTTGAGATATTGCCACACTATTTTTCACAATGGTTGAACTAATTTACATTCCCACCAACAGTGTAAAAGTATTCCTATTTGTCCACAGCCTCACCAGCATCTGCTGTTTCTTGACTTTTAAAAGGCCATTTTAAATGGCTTGAGATGGTATCTCATTGTGGTTTTGATCTACATTTTTCTAATGATCAGTATGTTGAGCTTTTTTCCATATGTTTGTCGGCTGCATAAATATCTTCTTTTGAAAAGAGTCTGTTCATTTTTTTGCCCACTTTTTAACAAGTTGTTTGTTTGTTAGTAAATTTGTTTACTTTCCTTGTGGATGATGGATATCAAACCTTTGTCAAACGGATAAATTGCAAAAATTTTCTTCGATTCTGTAGGTTGTCTCTTCACTTTGATGATAGTTTCTTTTTCTGTGCAGAAGTCCTTTAGTTTAATTCGATCCCATTTGTCAGTTGTTGTTTTTGGTGCAATTGCTTTTGACGTTTTTATCATGAAAACTTTGTCCATGTCTATGTCCTGAATGGTATTGCCTAGATTTTATTCTAGGGTTTTTATAGTTTGGGGTTTTACATTTAAGTCTTTAATCCATCTTGAGTTAATTTTTCTATAAGTTGTAGGGAATGGGGTTCAGTTTCAATTTTGTACATATGGCTAGCCAGTTTTGCCAGCACAATTTATGAAATAGGAAATCCTTTCCCATTGCTGGTTTTTGTCAGGTTTGTGGAAGATTAGATGATTGTAGATGTGCAGTCTTATTTCTGAGTTTTATATTCTGTTCCATTAGTCTATGTGTCCATTTATGTACTAGTACCATGCTGTTTTGGTAACTGTAGCCTTTTAGGATAGCTTGAAGTCAGGTAGTGTGATGCCTACAGCTTGTTTTTTTATTATGATCATCTTGGCTATATGGCCTTTTTTTTGATTCCGTATGAATTTTAAAGTGGTTTTTTCCAATTCTGTGAAGAATGTCCAATGGTAATTTAATGGGAATAGCTTTGACTCTAGAAATTACTTTGTTAGGTATGGCCATATTCAGGATATTTATTCTTTCTATCCATAAGCATAAAATATTTTTTTCAATTTGTTTGTGTCCTCTTTGATTTTTTTGAGCAGTGGTTTGCAATTATCCTTAAAGAGGTCCTTTACTTTCCTTGTGAGTTGTATTCTTAGGTATTTTATTCTGTTTGTAGAAATTATGAATGAGAGTTTATTCATGACCCCGTTCTCTGCTTCTCTATTGTTGGTGAATACGAATACCTGTGATATTTGCACACTGATTTTGTATCCTGAGATTGCTGAAGTTGCTTATAAGCTTGAGGAAGCTTTTGGACTGAGACAATGGCATTTTCTAGATATAGGATTATGTCATCTGTAAATAGAGACAGTTTGACTTCCTCTCTTCCTATTCAAATGCCATTTATTTCTTTTTCTTGCATTAATGCTTTTTCTTGCCCTGGCTAGATCTTCCAATACTATGTTGAATAAGAATGGTGAGAGAAGGCATCCTTGTCTTGTGCCGGTTTTCAAGGGGAATGCTTTCAGTTTTTGCCCATTCCCTATAATATTGGGCTGTGGATTTGTAAGAAATGGCTCTTATTATTTTGAGGTATCTTCCATCAATATCTAGTTTATTGAGAGTTTTTTGTTTTGTTTTTGTTTTGTTTTGTTTTATATTGATTTGCATATTTGAACCAGCCTTGCATCTCAGGGATGAAGCTGACTTGATTGTGGTCGATAACCTTTTTGATGTGCTGCTGGATTCAGTTTGCCAGTATTTTAGTGAGGAGTTTGGCATTGCTGTTTATCAGGGATGTTAGCCTCAGGTTTTCTTTTTTTGTTGTATATCCACCAAGTTTTGGTATCAGAATAAAGCTGTGTCATAGAATGAGTTAGGGAGGATTCCCTCCTTTCCAATTTTTTGGAATAGTTTCAGTAGAAATGGTACCAGCTCTTTTTTGTGCCTCTGGTAGAATTCAGCTCTTAATTCATTTGATTCTGGGCTTTTGTTGGTAGGGTCCTGGGAGGCCCCTCCTGGAATGGGAACCTGCCTCCTGCTCCCCCCCGCCTCCGGGCCAGCCACCACCATGAAGAAATTCTTTCAGGAGTTCAAGGCCAATATCAAGTTCAAGAGCGTGGGACCCAGTCAGAAGCTCACAGACTCTCTAGGGGAAAAGGCCCTCAAAGAGAAGCCCACCTAACCAGCTCCCCGGCAGCCCAGCCAGGGACCCACAATGAGGCACAGACGGCGGCTGCTGCCGCCCTGGTTCAGCTGGAGCATTAGCAATCCTGGCCCTGGGGCCCCACGTCTCAGGACACCATCCGAAACCAGGTGAGAAAGGAACTTCAAGCCGAAGCCACAGTCAGCAGGAGCCCCGAGGCCCCAGGGACCAACATAGTATCTCAGCCCAGAGAGGAAGTCTCCGCCCACCTGGCTGTGCCTGGCATCTATTTCACCTGTCCGCTCACCTGGGCCACCCTGAGGAAGGACCAGCCGGACGCCTGCATCAAGGACGCTATTCTCTCATGCTTTTCCACCGACCCAGTGGCGGCCTCCCATCGTGAAGATCCACACGTTCGACAAAGCCCGGGACCGGGTGAAGCTGGGCGTGGACGCCATCGCCAAGTACCTGGACAACATCCACCTGCACCCCGAGGAGGAGAAGTTCCGGAAGATCAAGCTGCAGAACAAAGTGTCCCAGGAGCGCATTAACTGCCTGGAAGGGACCCACGAGTTTTTTGAGGCCATTGTTTTCCAGAAGGTGATGCTTCCCGTCCCACGTCAGGGGAACCCAGAGGAGTTCTACGTGCTGAGCGAGGCCACCCTGGCCCAGCCCCGGAGCCTGGAGAGGCACGAGGAGCAGCTGCAGACCTCGGAGCCCGTGCCCGCCAAGCTGGACCGGCAGCGCTGTCTTCCAGCCCTCGCCCCCGGCCTCGCAGTTCGACTTGCCTGGGGATTTATTCAACCTCTCGGCCGAGGAGATCAAGCGGGAGCAGAGGCTTGGGTCCGATGCGGTGCAGCGGCTGAGTGTGCTGCGGACCGAGGCCAAGCGGTAGAAGGAGGAGCAGCGGGGGCTAGGAAGGGTGCGCCTCCCCGACGGCTGCCTCCTGCGGGGGACCGTCTGTGCCTGGGAACCGCTGGAGGCCGAGTGCGGTTCGTCCTGGAGGCCCTGCAGAACTACTGGCTGCCTTTTGAGCTGCTGGCCTTGGGACGGCAGAAGCTGTCAGAGAACGAAAACCTGGCCTTGAATGAGTGCGGGCTGGTGCCCTCTGCCCTGCTGACCTCGTGGGACGTGGCCGTGCTGGAGGACATCAAGCCGGACTCCATCCTGAAACCCCAGCTCCTGTCAGCCATCGAGAAGCTCTCGTGAAATAAAAGCAGCGCTGGCCTCAGCCCTGTGGGTCTGTCTCATGCTCTCCCTGTCCCTGTCCCGACCGCTCCAGGGCCTCTAAGCCATCTCTGGAAATACTTGCTCTTCCCCGTCGGCACGGGAAAGGTGCCGGCCGGCTGTGGAGCCGTGGAACCGGGCCCCGTGGCAGATCCCATAGCCTCCAAGGGAGAGGCCTGGGGACACCACCAAATCGAAGCCCTCCCTAGCTGCGATAACTGTGTCATGAAGCCCCTGGGCAGACACACGGGCGTCTCCCTGGGCAGAAGAGCAGACCTATGGCACAGGTCCTGTTCCCGTGTGCAGTGGGTGGCAGCAGCTACACCCGACGCTGGGGCTGGTCTGTGGATGTGGGTGATGACATCCAGGCCAGGAGGGGACTCTGGCCTTCCAGCACAGACCTGCAGTTACTAAATTATGAACCCAAATAAACAACAAAAACAAACAAAAATTCTCCCTCAATTTCAGAACTTGTTATTGGTCTATTCAGAAATTTGATTTCTTCCTGGTTCAGTTTTGGGACAGTGTATGTTTCCAGGAACTTATCCATTTCTTCTAGATTTTCTAGTTTATTTGCATAGAGGTGTTTATAGTATTCTCTGATGGTTGCTTGTCTTTCTGTTGGGTCAGTGGTGACATCCTTTAATCTTTTTATTGGGCTTATTTGATTCTTCTCTCTTTTTCATTAATCTAGCTAGTGGTCTATCTATTTCATTAAGTTTTTCAAAACACCAGCTCCTGGATTTATTAATTGTTTGAAGGATGTTTTGTTTCCCTATCTCTTTCAGCTCTGCTCTGAGCTTGGTTATTTCTTGTCTTCTGCTGGCTTTGGGTTTGTTTGCTCTTGGTTCTCTAGCTTTTTTCATCGTGATGCTAGGATGTTGATTTGAGATCTTTCTACCTTTCTGATGTGGGCATTTAGTGCTATAAATTTCCCTCTTAGCAGTTTTAGCTGTGTCACAGAGATTCTGGTATGCTGTCTCTTTGTTCTCATTGGTTTCAAAGAACTTCTTGATTTCTGTCTTAATTTCATTTTACCCAGGAGTCATTCAGGATGTGGTTGTTCAATTTCTAGTATTTGTGTGGTTTTGAGTGAGTTTCTTTTTTTTTTCCCCATTTATTTTATTGCATTTTAGGTTTTGGGGTACATGTGAAGAACATGCAAAATTGTTGCATAGTAACACACGTGGCAGTGTGATTTGCTGCCTTCCTCCCCATCACCTACATCTGG